TATGGCCTCATATCTCATGTACCCCCAATTATTATATTTTCCAAAGTGACATCCTTTCATTTTTAAGTGTTTCTGAAACCAACAGGTAGAGTGAACCTAGTGCACATAGAGTAAAATGGTGTTGGCACTGACCCTGGAACTGACCCTGTATATAGCTACTGACCTTGGAACTGTCCCTGTGTATAGCTACTGACCCTGGGACTGTCCCTGTATATAGCTACTGACCCTGGAACTGTCCCTGTGTATAGCTACTGACCCTGGAACTGTCCCTGTATATAGCTACTGACCCTGGAACTGTCCCTGTGTATAGCTACTGACCCTAGAACTGTCCCTGTGTATAGCCCTGGAAAAGAGCTTGCAAGTAAGGCATTTCACTGTACTTGTGCATGTGACAATTAAACTTGAAACTTATAAAGCTGCATTTACACAGGCAGCCCAATTCTGAGAATTTTCCCACTAATTGGTCTATTGACCAATCACATCAGATCTTTTCACATCAGCTATTTTTCAGAGTTGATCTGATTGTTCAAAAGACCAATTAGTGAGAAAAAAATACATAATAATTTGGCTGCCTGTGTAAACACAGACTTACAGGTTTCATGTTTCAATGTGCTGAATAGCAGTCATGCTGTATCCTTCTTCTTAGGCTGACCTCTGACAATGGCTTGGCATTTATAGTTTCCAATTTGTACCAGATAAGATTCAGCTTGGGATAAAACTAAGCTTGACAAAATGTTACAATAAATATTTCAAATATCAGCCTACATTAGATCCTATTCATTACCCAAATGAAACATTTCTCATCTTATGATCATGCCCATTCACACAAAATACGTTGTTTTAGAATGATATCTTGTGAGGTAAAGCAGAAAAGAAGCCTATAACGGTGCACTTTTCGTAGATGTGGGAAGGTTTTTAAGAGCCATGTTACTAACGCTCTGAGAAACACCTCGACTGCTAAAGATACCATTGAAGATGGCTCTAACGACGATCTTAACGCTACCAAGGCTCTGGGAAAACGAGGCCTTGGTCAATCGACTACAGTAGGCCTACAGCCAAGTGGGAAATCGTTTTAGTTTGCATTGGAAATGGAATCCCTTTAAATTGTATGATTTCTGCCTAAAGATGGCGCAAGAGGATCAATTAAGGTATATGCCTGCCGATGTCTGTGTTCAGATTGTATCTGTCTGGCATCCACAAATGGCAACACTGGGCCAAATCTGAGATTATTATCATTATGAAGGGTTTTAGGATGAGACGAAATGGTACATTAAAAACAATATGTGTTTAATTCGAGTATAGGGAATAATTAAAGCGTATTCTTGATATAAAGGTAATTTTGGCGTATAGCCTATTTCATTAAACAAAATTATCATTGCAGTGAAGTGCTCTGCACTGACCTGCTAGGCTTTGGGCGTACTATTTCTTACTGGAATGCCCTTTGCACACAATACATTCGGTTTCAAATACAGTTGAATTGGAAACTCTTTGGCTTTCTGCAGTGCTCTTCTTTCTCTTAGCGCTTGATGGCGCCAGACAACAATTTGTTCTTCTGGAGATCGTCATTTGAAAAAAAATATTGTTTCATCACTTGAAATTCATAGGGTAAGTACACCACTGTAACTACAGAATTCATAACATTATGTGAGAGGCCTCTCCATAGATTTGCTTGGTTAAATTTGAAGCACATGAGTGCAGGAATATAATATTGGCTAATTCTGTGTAAATTGTTTTACTCCTTATTTATAGTGCTTCAAACCATTTGATTCTTATTTAGCTATAAGGCATAGTATTTCATACCTTCTCACTTGTTCGATAATGAATAAAGTTATGCGCCAAGGTTTGGGTAAATAATAATTACGCACTAAATAAGAATTAACTTCGAGGATGGATGCGTTTCTCTAACATTCTATGACATGTCATGTTGTGAAGTAGATTATTTCTTTAGAATAAAACTCTTCATTCAGTAAACATCTGAAATACTACTACTACTGATGATGATAAATATGATAATACATTTTTGTTGTTATTGGCAAGAGGCATTACATGCGCATTACCCTTGCTAAATTGTGAGATATATCAATCCCCAAAAAGTGCAACCAGTCGTTTCAGTATCGTTGCCTATTAAGCATCTTGCACGGTTTTGTGGTGCTTAACGGAAATTGTGCCGGGGGCAAGTGATAGGGGTGCTAGCGGTTGAAACCAAACCCTTAGACTAACAGGTTGGATATTAACATGGAAACGTATCCTGTCCAGAACTCACACAACACACCTGCAGCGCTCCTGTGCACAGTATTCCAGTACACCTTGCTGCTCTGAACTATGTTTTAGATTGTTCTATTTAATCTGTATTCCTGCCTGTACTTCTATTATTCTCAAATCGATTGTCTTTGAAGTCAAACATTGAGGGAATGTCATTTAAAATAGTGCATTTTAAATTGTGTGACTGTCTATTTCAAACTGAGCTGTGTTTTCTTAGGAAAAGTATGCTCAGAAGTAAAGGCCTGTTGTTTAAGTATGCTATATAGGCCTAGCTTAAAATTCACTGTTGAATTTGACATGGCATAATTGTTATTATGGTTTATTTATCATATTTATATCAGCTAAATAACATACCATTGCTCGAGCCATATATCTTTCCATTCTGCAATTGACAGTGCAATGCCAACATGTTGTTGACCGCAACAAGGATAGATAGAGTCGACATGTGTTCGGTTAGAACTTGAAAGAAAATACGTTCGTTATCAACTCCGCGCGCGCACGTGTTGTTCTTTTTTTTGTGTGCCTGGTGGAGATGAGTTCATTAATTTTTATCCCGAGGAGTCTACATAAGTATGTATTAGAAATAAACAGATGATAAATAAACCATGACCCCAATGCACGTAAGGGAATCTGGTAGATTGTGTATAAGTAATGATGTTACAGTAAGCATCAGATTTTATCCTAGTTAAATTTTTTAGGTGAATATATATTTTACAACCAACTGACAGAGCCAACGTATTGACATGTTGTAATTCAATAAGATATAGATTTTTCATTTAGTTTAGTATTTTACATCTAGAAATTGTCAAAATGCCATGCAAATTATATTGTTGACCTCGCTGAGTAGGTCTATCCACAACAGTTAGCCCATATTAAAAAGTTGCTGTTGTACCCTTTTCTTCCATATGTTCAAGGCAGTGAGACCCAAATGGAAATTCACGAAAGACCATTACCTCTATTTCAGGTAGGTTTACACACCCGGTCCATTGCGCATGCGCCCCCAGGTGGCTCACACGGTTTTTATGGCCAGGTGAGGTGATCTCGTTCACCACAGGTTAAAGCTAAAAGTGGCTTAGGGACCGAAGGCTCAATGACATTACACGACGTGCGAGCTACCATATCCGGACAGATTGAAGAAAAAATGATGTCAATAATTGGCCAAATGGGGGATTGGCAGGTATGTGTTGTTTATTTCAAGACAAACGTATTATTGAATGTGTAGCATACTTCAGGAGTTTCGGCTAATATGTCGAATTTATGGCCACAATTGGGAAATGCATTGCCATAAACGTTTCCTTGTAGAATTAGTAGCACTATCTTTAGCCTAAATATTAATAAAGTTATATTCTATAGGCCTAGTTTAAATTATTTTCACTTGTACAGTGTTAGTTTTCCTCAAACGTTAATAATGTTTCCATTTACGCCTGATTAACAATACTGTGTTGGCTGTTGTGCTAACTTTGGGAAAGTAGGTTTAACATGATGCATTGTACGTAGGCTATACCACTCAAGCAATTTAAGAATATAGAAAACCGTCCCTTATAAAGAAGTAAATAATAGCCTATATGGAATGTGTGAACAGTAAACATCTATTTGAAAGCACCGTGCTCACACATTTAAGTTTCGCTTTGCTTTGGGGGGTTTTAAAGTGTGAAAACAAAATCTATCAACATAGCACAGTCTTACATAAGATTCTCCAACTTTTCATTATATATGTTTAATTCGACTCTGGGATGGTAAGTTACGTATAGTAAAATCATAGCTCGCCTAGGAGTTGTGGTTCTTGTCATCTCAAAGTTCGAAACAAATCTATCCGATCGATGTATTACTGTGTAGATGAATGTTGGCCTAATGCAATGGGTTTTTAAATAATAATTTAATGTAGATTTTAAAACAGAACGTTCTAACGCGGTGAAACTGGGGTCGGTAACACAAGCCATGGCGAGATTGAGCATTTAGGTTTCACTCTCCAAAGGAACACCGCCTCTAAAAGCAACACCGCAGCACACAGACACACACATACACATCCTACGATTTCTAAGGCACTTTTACCTAGACGATAGTTGTCATTGTGAGCTAGTTTCATGGGCCCTCTCTCTAATAACAACTGGTTGTAAAGGTACCCCACCAAAAATGGTAATCTGGAGTTGGCGACCTGGTTCTTGACCCGAAACCCTTGGTGCTCGACTTCGCCGGCGACGGGCATGAGCCCAAATACTTTAGACCTTCATTCACATTAAACAGGCTGTTTTGTTGTGTTAATTATTTACATTCCAAAAACGGCGCTCTTCCATGTCGTCAATGGAGCTGTATACCTACTTTAGAGTGGTCCCTCTTTTGCATGACAGTGACAGAATAGCTTCTCATGGTCTCAATAGGTCTAAAACAACAGTTTACGAAAATCAGGTATTAAGAGAATAGTAGACAGAGAGTATTTGGCATAGTGTGGCACGCTCTTCAGGACAAGTTGAAGATACAGAGAGACCGATCATACCATATGTTAGGCTATGTCTGTGTGAGATGATGGAACTTGTTTTTATGAGGTTGTTTTATAAAACATTTTCTTATGAAACAACACCTGTTAAAAAGGAATATGCACGAAAAATGAAGCATATTAATATAAGATATAACATGTATTATCCAATTATTTGTTTGATCATAGCCATCATAATGAACGTTGACACCTCTTCCTGGGTGCGGGGTGTGTTGTTGCCTTTGTCATATTTAATGCTTACAAAATGTACGCTCAGTTCGTGCTGTATATGATGAATGTGGGAGAAGTAAATACATGTGAAGTCTCGCTCCAGTTTTACCTGTGTTGTCCATTGGTGTTGGGCAAATGGGCACCAAGCGGCTGTTGATATGCTAATGAGGGAATGCGAATGTTAGTACAGTGGTGCGCGAGCCTTTTACTTCCACCATTAGAGGGAGATCTCAGAGCGCAGACAGCCAAGTTGACCTAAAACAGTTTGAGCTAGAGCACAATTCACTGTGTAAAACAAGGAAAGGCGCTCTCAATACCCACCACAACCCATGAAAATGCTTTGGAAATTAACTGACAATATAAAATATGAAGATTACGAGGTAAGAGGCTCATATTTTATTTATTGCAGTTTTCATGTCATTAATGGCGTACTGTTTTATTTGTATTTTGTCAAAATCTCTGATTGTTTTGGCAGTTGTCTGGAAACATATTTAATTCAAGAATACAAAGATGCATACTGGTTTATTTCATATGTTCGATATGTTTCTATTTTGATACGGACTCATTATAGTTTTTAATGTGTAAAAATATACATTTTACAGTTTCAATATTTATAGTGCAAATATTGTAATAATAATCATCATCGTCATCATAACAGTCATATTAATAGTAATAATCATACATTTTCACAGCAAGCAAGTAGAGTAATACATGTCAAACCCGAAGCACAGGCAATAACAGAGACACATATGTTTATATAATTTAAAACGAAATTGTGTAAAATAGGACTCATCAAAAATCATTGCTGAACAATATGTTAAATGTAGGCCTACATAGAATGTAAGAGAATGTACTTAGGGAGACATACTCAACATGCATTAGCTGACTGTCATCGAAAAGGTATGTTTAAAATAATGTGTTTACATTTATAAAACATTATGGGATGCCTATCCCTAATATTCTTATGAAATAAGTCGTGCATTTCGAGCCCTTAGCTTGTGCACAGGCTGAGTGATTGTTTTTATAGCATACACAGAAAGTTTAACAGTCATATCAGGGAGTTGTTTAGGAGTGGTGCAGCCAGTTGAACATGTTTTGCCCGGGTCTGGAGAAGGAATAAAGGCACGTCAAGAGCAGGGAAGAAACGCTGGGCTTGTGGGCTTCTCTGCACGTGTTTGAATTTGTGATTCTCTCAAACAAGTTAAATTTAAGGGTAACGTACCTGTTTCTGTTAATAGAAATCAATGTTAACTACACCGTGTTTTCATAATGGATACTCTTTCGCTGCTTTGACAAAACGGTCGCGTACAAATAGGTTAGTAGGGGAAGTGGATTTCATAAGCGTGCGAGGTGCGTTATCCGTATGAAAACTTTGGAATATATTTGCTCCGAGTTAAAGTTAGCTCGGCTGGCGTAGTTTGAAGTCGAATAACCGAGGATTCATTCATTGGAGATATTCGGGAAGGGCCATGGAACGAGAGGCGTCGGAATCTAAAGTGGAAAACAAAGGGACAGGGCGAGCAGACAACCGCCCTCTGAACAGTAGAAATGTGCCAGCCGAGATGCCCTCAGCGTTTGCTGGATTTTCACACGAATCAGAGGTGCACATTGTTTCTTTCCATGAGTCTTCCTCTCTCTCTGGTCACCCCTTCATTCTGTCTTTCTTTCACTTTTGCTTGCCCTCGAACCTTTAAACCCCCCCCCCCCCCCCCCTCTCTGATTCGTCAGATGCAAGAGAATGTCCCTCTTTTTGTCTCCCGCTCTCTCTCTCCTCCTCACTCACTCCCTCTTTCTCTCCTCGTCTCTGATTAGATATACTGATTCCTCATTCAATGGACGTCATTTAGTGCAGACTCTGCCTCGAGTTGGTTCCTTGTTCACGCTCGATTTCCGACCATTCTACCCTTATTAAGAATTCGTGTAGCCTAATATTAATAGTCATGAATATCTGCTATTAGGAGTCCAAGGGAAGAAGCAGCTCTTTGCTAATAGAGCTCAAGCGAAGGAACAGCAGTGATAGAGCCAGAAGACGGAACAGGGACACAATAAACTTTAAACGTAAATCCGCAAGACCAAACACTGCATTTTAGAATCGAATGAAAGGCAGTGGGAATTTAACCAAATTCTAATGGATTATCGTTCTTCGGTGGTGCTTATCTGAACATTGGGCTCCGTGATCTTTCAATAGTGTTGTTGCTGGCTTTATTTTGTTTGCTCGTACATTTTCCTTGTTTTGTCGTTTTATTCAGAAAATTATATTTTGAATCGCTCGAAAATCGTCGCAGATGTTAGTGCACAGTTTTTCCGCGATGGTAAGTTGGACTCCTTGGCAAAGACTGTGATAGGCCTATACTTCGTGCAGCATTCAGACTCCGATTATTGCATTTTTTTATCAAATCGTTTTGCAAAGATATCATACAGACAATTTAAGCAACAACAAAAAAAAGGATGCAACATTGCTCTCACATTTTATTTCAGTATCGAAATATTCCAACTGTAGGCCTATTCATATTTTTTTTTTCGAAAACCATCAAATACGAATGGATTATTGGCCTACAGTAATTATCAATGTTATTATTGCTATCTTTAGTATTACTGTCATTATTATTAGGCTAGTATTGCTCCGTTCAACAGGGAACTGATTTAATTCAATAGTGCCCATAGTTGATTTTATTTCAACCAACGAATTTGGATACACATGCAATAGGCCTAATGGTAGTTGACAGTCCATAAAAGTCCCCGTGAAAACGGGTAAAATGGAGGGTTGGTGTATAGGTTTAATTTCTCCGATTCCTTTTTCCTGCAGGATCGTCACGACGGTACCAGCAATGGGACTGCCAGGCTACCTCAGCTGGGAGGCGTGGGCCAGTCTCCGTATAGCGCCCCTCCGCTCTCCCATACCCCAAACTCCGACTTCCAACCACCATACTTCCCCCCGCCGTACCAGCCCATCTACTCCCAGTCTCAGGACCCCTACTCGCACGTCAACGACCCCTACTCCCTCAACTCCCTGCACGCTCAGCCGCAGCCACAGCACCCTGGCTGGCCGGGTCAGAGGCAGAGTCAGGAAAGCAGTTTGCTTCACCAGCACCGCGGCTTGCCCCATCAGCTCTGTAGGGAGTACCGGAGAGAAGTGCTCCTGCCGTCGGGCCACGGAATCGATACGGGACTCTCAGATTCTATCCCAATCCATGGAATACCTCACTCTTTAGAAGATGTTCAGGTAATTCAGCATTATTTGGTAATTATATTATTATTACTATTACATTATTACTATCACATTATTGTTATTATAATCATAATAATTGTTATTATTATTATTTTGAAATTATTATTACACGCGTAGACTTCTATTAAAGTTTGCTGCTCTAAATTGGCAGCTCTGTATTAAATGTTACGGCCTACATTTTATGACTCAATTTTATAAATGCAGAAATAGCAAAAGATTATGTCCATAATTGAATTTAATTGACAGATGCCTTTTTATATGAATGTATCAACAGCAATTTGATTTTACAAACGACTTTCGAGTCAAACATGTTATACAAGCCTACTTGCATGGATTATTCAGTCTATATTCTCTAGCTGTGTTTGCACGTTATTTGCCTTATTGGGGATAATTTGTTGACCCCCTCCCTCCACTGAAAATATGCATAGTGTTATAAACAACACTTACCCTAAACAAACAGATCAAAACTGCAGCTCTGAGGACTATAATTTGATCTCAAACCCCTCTCACAAAATGGATGATGTACCACGGTTGTTGATTCATATTCCCTGTCATTTTTTGACTTGATTCTGGATATCCTCCCTTCATCTTTAATTTAATTGTGCTCATTGAAAATACTCACTCAAGCCCGAATACGAGCGGGGTCTGTGAGCAATAATACAATAGTCCACTCGGGAGTTTGGCAGATGCAGGCGCACTAACTGAGCACCATGTTTTAGATGAAGTTCCATCGCTCAGCAGATAATACGAAGACATCGAATAAGTAAAGGAAGCGTTTTGTTTTTTTCGAAAACAAAGGCCTAATCTCCAATTAGCGTGCACTGTGTGTAACACCACCGTTATTCATAATACAATTAATAGTTATTCGTAAGTATCCAGTCTGTGGATGGAACGAGGTCACGATTATAGGGTGACAGAGCTTCGTTGTTTAATCTGGTGTGCACCACGCACGCTGCCCAACAGCTATAGACAATATCCCTCCCCTTTATTGAAAATAATAACAGGTAGCCTATAGGCCACCCATATTGTCTGATTGTGGGCTACAAGCCAGCCTTTTACAAACAGCATGACATGTAAGATTAATTCCATTGTATTCTTTATTAAATAGTGTTTGTGCATGTGTGTGTTGCAGCATATTGAGGATCAAGGAATTCACATCCCAGATCAGACTGTAATTAAAAAAGGTAAGCAATTTCCTTCGAGATGCCATGCATGTTTGCACAAGCTGCACACCACACCACTCTGCTCCGGAGCTCCGTGCGGTAGCTAGGGCTTCACTGAAGTGAATTCATGTGCAGTGTTTTTTATTACCTGAGCTCGAGTGCATCAAACTAACTGCACATTTTTTAATCGATGAAGGCCAATGTCAGCGTTTCAAAGTAGTGAGATGAGAATATGTCCTATATAGGCTATGCTGTATCCTATCGTTGTTATTGTGTTGCATCTTTTTCGCTCGATATCGTTTATAGTCATATAGGCAACCCACCGGGTAAAACTGGCTGAATCAACGCTGTTTGCACGTCATTTCAACCAAAACAAATCTATGCGATGATGTCAACGTGGAAAACTGATTGGATTTGAAAATAAGTTAACCTGAATCCAATGACATTTTATGTTGATTTCACGTTGAATTCACGTTAGATGACAACGCAACCAAATGTAAATCAAAACTAGACGTTGAACTGACGTCTGTGTCCAGTGAGCAGTTCTCTTTGCACTGCAGGAGCAAATCTAAAATGGCAGTTGTTAATGCCGTATGTATTAAGTATCAGGATGATACAAGGATTCCCACGGGGGGCCAGTATGAAAAATGTTTGCACTCACTAACTGTAAGTCGCTCTGGATAAGAGCGTCTGCTAAAATGACTAAAATGTAGAAAAAATACCAGATCCTGCATGAAGGTGGAAAAAATCTTAGCCTGCAAAAATAGGCAAGGTCTCTAAACCATTTATAGAGTCCCATTCCATCAGTGTTTTACATAGCTGTGGTTGTTTATTGAATAATGCGTTCAGTGTTGCATTATATAGATGGGCCTAGCATAATTGCGTGTGAATTCAATTGTTTTCTCCTATACTATATGACCATTTCGGGCGTGTGAGGCCTACTTCATGGTCAGGTTGAATGTTACTCCTCTCGCCATGTGGAGTCTTTTGTCAAGTCAAATTAGATGCGCTGGGGATGAATCTTGAGAGATGCTCTTTCCGCATCAGCATGATAATTGGCTCTTATATTAGTAATCTCAAGAGTTCGTTTAGCTCCTATTGTCTCTATTAATCTCCCGTGAGCTCTTAATGTCACAAGTGATCTATCCAAAAGCGCTAGTCCCTTTGTCTCCGGTTACTGCACACAAAACGGTAACCCTTGCAAAGTGAAATCACACGCGCGACCATGGATATTTGAAAATCAGCTTCTCTCAGCGTGATGTGTGTGTATTGTACTATTGCAACATAGAGTGTGCGCGAGTCTTCAAAAATGTGTCATGTTTCAGAGGTCAAATTTTATAGATAGCCTACCCTAAACAAATATTGAGTCTATAGGCCTATAACAAGGCCTGCAATACGATACAATTGTTTTTAGCAATGGCTAACCCTTTGTGCAGAGGCCTAATAACACCAATGAGAAAACAATACATATATTATTATTAGGCCTGTTAATATAAGGTGTTATTATATTCGTGTGAATAGTATCATTATTATTTGGCCTGTCATAGCCTACTCTATACCCATTGTTTAAATGATGTGTAAGCCTCTACACCCACAATGCGTTTGATATGAATCTCATATGGTTAAGGGTCTACACTGAATGAGATTCACTGAACTTGGTCTTTGTGTTCCCTAGGTCCAGTTTCTTTATCCAAGAACAACAATGTCTCCGCCATTGGGATAAATAAAGACGGTCTTTTTGGCGGTGTGGTAAACCCCAACGAAGTGTTCTGCTCTGTTCCGGGTCGCCTGTCTCTGCTCAGCTCCACATCAAAGTACAAGGTCACGGTGGCGGAAGTGCAGAGACGACTTTCGCCGCCTGAGTGCCTCAACGCGTCACTGCTGGGCGGGGTACTGAGAAGGTGAGCCGGACTTTAATGTCTCTCCTCATTTTTTATCCCAGGAATAATTAAAATCGACCAAGCGTGACACCTGCATTTAAAACAGGCCAGACGACAGACTGTTAAATTCCGTATTAACTTTATGCACGCACTGAATTTGTTTTCTCGCAATGTATAGCCCACAAATTAATGTAGGCCTCTTGGCCCTACCCTCAGTCCTATAACACTTGTTAAAGCACATCACATAGGCCTACACCAAAAGTAAACCACTGTAATGTTCGGTCTATTGATTCCAAGCTAGACGCAAAGCCAGTATTTTGGGTGTACATTGTGTATTTACTCAAATAAAGCAGTGACAGTGAGTTGACAATGCATAGCCTATATCCACACACAAATAGGCCTATAGACACCGATATATAGTTACAGAAGCTTATGGAAGAAACAAATGGCATTGTTATTTTTTTAAACAAGATAGCTATCTCTCTGATTAAATAATATGATTAATAACATGAATATTCATTCAACTATTTTTGGATCAGATATTGTGTCCAATGAGGGTTGAAAAAAAATGAAACATGCCATTTTATAAATTAGCCTATTCATACAAACTATTTTTTTTTTCTTGTCACAGAGCCAAGTCTAAGAACGGCGGAAGGTCCCTCAGAGAGAAATTGGATAAAATCGGATTAAATCTACCTGCAGGTAGACGCAAGGCCGCAAACGTTACCCTGCTGACGTCACTAGTCGAAGGTAAGTTGCATTGTAAATTTTCTGAATTCCGGTTCCGGCGATAGCAGGTGCTTTGAACGGTTTCAGGGGGAACATTCGAAATCAGTACATCCGTGTAATTTGGGCAGACTTTGCCTTGCAAACAAATAATGCATGAAGGATACCTGTGTATTTTTGAGCGAGAGGATGATGGTAATGATTCTAGAGGCTTTACGCAACATTGACCTGTGTATTTAGCCTACCTGTGTGCAATCTTCTCTTTGTAAAAGTGCATGGGCCTAAGGCTACCACACTCTGAGGTAGGAGTCGGTTAGCCTGGCTGGCCTAGTTTGTGCCAGATGAATTAGGCTCGTTGTTGACGCCGGGTTATGGGCATTTGCTTAATTATTGTCTAGCGGGAGTGCGGAGCTGTTTCACCTCTGGCAAAAGTGGATCGATTGATTTATTATATTGATTTATTATAGTGGCTTGTTGTCATGAACGTTGTTATAAGGCGTTTATTATTATTATTCTAGTACTAGTAGGCTAGTAGTAATAATAATAGTAGGGCTAGGCTACCGCTACTGATATTATTCACTATTATTTACACTGGCCTCGTTCCTTCTTTGTCATGGAAGTGGAACGGACCTATGGAGGAACTATATGTTGTGAGCCTATTAAATAATATAAATTAGTCAATTATGGTGTACTGTGAGGATGCCATTGCTATTGAATAAATCAAGTTTGCTTGCAAAGTTGAACCGTATTATTCAGTGCGGTGGTATTTGGTGAGCTGTGGGTTTTAAAGGTGAAAGCCTGGGATGGTTCATTGGTTCCTGTTAATCATTACAGCCGAAGAGTGAATGCAATATTCATTGTGCTTCATTGAAATGTGGTAATGTATGGTAATGAGGCTGAACAAATGTATGATTCTTTGGGGGGGAGGGGGGGGGGGGGGGTGAAGGTGCTCGGTTATTTAGTGAAGAGACTATGCTTTTTTCCGAAGTGCTGTTATTGTTTATGATCCGCTCCATTTTATGGAAACGACAAATGAGTTTACTGGGCTTGAGCTTTGACGCTAATTGGCGGGCATGCGTTCTTCTGGAGTTGAGGTTTATGTCAGGAAGCCCCGCAGTAAAAACCCAACTGTTTCAGGAAATTCAAACCAAAATCAACAGAAAAGCCAGACCTCAATGGAATGAACCTATAATTCTCAAAGCTAAAGTATGTAGGAGCGAGATTTACGTATATAGCCTTTTAAAATTGCTTTCCTATTTTGCATTATCTGCTGGACTTTCAATAATGTTTAGAGATGGCTAATGAATGACATGGTGTTATGCATGACGATCTTTATGACATTTTGAATTGTTTCCCTGATATTTAACTCTTCTCACAAAATGACGTATGGGGCCTGACTTGTATTAATAACATTTAATTTTGTTCCATAATGTGATAGAAGGAATGCTACAGGTCCTATATAGCCTTCTGCTTTAGACATTGATACGAAGAGAAGGCCTTCTCTTTGGCCGAGGACGTTCATTAGATGAATCATGTGTTAAGTGGAAGTGTTAATTGGTCTATATTTGATGTCACCATTTCAGAGCAATATATTATACACTCAAACCATTCTTTCCTCCTCAGGCGAAGCGGTGCATCTTGCCAGAGATTTTGGTTACGTGTGCGAGACTGAGTTTCCAGCCAAGGCAGTAGCTGAATATACAAACCGTCAGCATTCCGACCCAAACGAACAAGTCCAAAGAAAAAACATGTTATTGGCAACGAAGTAAGTGTTATGTTATCACATTTCGTATGTCCCCAAAAAATGTTTTCAAGTCATTCTCATGTTTACATCGACAGTGTTTGCAAACACAAACTCAAATGGATGGTCGTGGTAGATTTTTTTTGTAGGCTTTTGTATAGATTTCACATGGATTTCTAGTGTTACATTTATGGCCTTGCTATTTGGGTTACATTGTAGTATTTTTTACCCCACTAATTAAATGCGACACATTACAACTGGCCCAACAAATTATTGGATACAAATGTATCGACTAATGTCAAATTATTTTAACTTCTAATGCGCGGGATGAGTCATCACGTGACGTTATGCACGCGATACAATGCTCAGTGAACAAACACTTTTTGAATTCGACCCTGGCAACTAATATTACTGAATTTTAAATCCCAACTCTCTTTTTCATTCGATTCATGCCAAACATTTTTTGCAATGGTGCGTAAGCATAGAATAAAACACGTGGACGAATAGGCCCTATATTAGCCTATCCAAGCTGGAGTGTACTGTCATCAAATCAAATCACATTTTATTGGCCACATGCGCCGAATACAACAGGTGCAGACATTACAGTGAAATGCTTACTTACAAGCCCTTAGCCAACAATGCATTTATTTTAAATAAAAAATTAGAATAAAACAACCAAAAAGTGTTGAGAAAAAAAGAGCAGAAGTAAAATAAAATAACAGTAGGGAGGCTATATATACAGGGGGGTACCGGTGCAGAGTCAATGTGCGGGGGCACCGGCTAGTTGAGGTAGTTGAAGTAATATGTACATGTGGGTAGAGTTAAAGTGACTATGCATAAATAATTAACAGTAGCAGCTGCGTAAAAAGATGGGGTGGGTGGGGGGGGGGGGGGGGGGGGGGGGGGGGGCAGTGCAAATAGTCCGGGTAGCCATGATTAGCTGTTCAGGAGTCATTGGTGGGTCGATTGAGCGGGCCTCATCCACACGCAACCATTGTGTTTGCTGTGATTGGGATTGCATTGACACATAGCTGGTTCAACTCCAACATAACCTTTCCCCACTGCATTAAAACATTTCGACACTATAGTAGGCCTATCACACTATAGCCTATAGCCTATGTCACTTTGAGCAAATATGCCATAGGCCACACTAATGCTGTGCTACCAACTATATAAATTATATAAATTAATAGGATTTTTGGCCACCTCTCGTATCCCGAATTAATATTAGGGGCAGACTGGCATTATTATTGTAATTAACACATATATTGTCTCCCCTTTTAGGCAAATCTGCAAAGAGTTCACAGACCTGCTTTCCCAGGACCGTACGCCCTTGGGGAATTCTCGACCACAACCTATTCTTGAGCCAGGGATTCAGAGTTGCTTGACCCATTTCAGTCTAATTTCTCACGGATTCGGGACCCCGGCCATGTGCGCGGCCCTCACCGCTCTCCAGAACTATCTGACGGAGGCGATTAAAGCCATGGACAAAATGTACCTGAACAGTCACTCAGACAGCGGAACTAAAGGAGGAGACAAAGACGAGAAGCACAGAAAGTGATTCTCACCTGAAAGCCCAATATAAATATTATAAATACATATAGATACTATTGATCAAGTAAACGTGCCACTTCCTGATCTCGCGATGATTTTACATGTATGTTTTTACTACCATTCAACTTTGGATTTTCGGGAAGCGACGTGCAAGATGCCCACAATAATTAATGAGAGAGAAAAAAAATTTGAAAGGCGCAAAGGAACCGCTCCAGAGAGAGAAAGGTCTCTGCCACATGGAGGACTTTTTATGTAGGCCTGCTCCCTCTTTTTATGAGCTGCAACGGACTGAAATCCAGTGACCATTATATCTCAATTTATGATTGTAGCCATATGACAAAAAGAAGCTAAAAGAGGATGAATTCCTATCAGTATTGTGAATAATATTCTTGGAAAAATCCACAGTTACATGTCATGACTTCAGTTGCAGACTCTCACTCCAAGCGACCAACTTGAACTTTGTATTTCAACACGATTCACGGTTATATAAGGGAATCTGTGTTCATGTATGTATATATTGATTTATGTGTAATTTAATGGGAATTGTAAATATGGTGCGTCTGTTGAAACTTCTTTTTTATTTATCTGTTGCCTCCTGTTTTAGTGGGTTTAAATATTCGGTTAGTTCTTCATGTGGTTTTACGGTTCTTAGAAAACAGAAGTTTGGGGTATTTTTCTCTCTGGGATATTTCAATTCAGCCCTCTTGTAGCATGTTGAGGCGACATTGAAGCAAGTGAACAAATGTAATAGAAATAAACCATCATTTCTCTCCATCATCCTTATTCCATTCCGTTCTTTTTGTTGTTGTTGAAAAGAGCATTCGCGATATCCTGATGAGAACTATTTTGTGTTTCTACTTCCTTGTTTTTACACAATACTTTATGTGTTGTGCCAATCAGAATACGTCTCACCTCTTGTTCTTCCCTTGAAGCACCATAAAAGCAATAAATGGATATTGTCTTTAGAATTATTTTTTTTATGTTCGAAGTAATTCCAAACATTTGGGACCACCTGATATCTTGTACGTCCAAATCGGAGGCGGTTTTAGCTGTATTGCATAGACCTCTGCTGGCAATAGTTCCCACGTCTGTCAATGTATTATAGTCCTTTGTTGCCCAGAAAAAAATAAATATTTGATACGCTTCATGTCGATTTGTATTCATATCTTTTAATTTTTTTATTCAGTGGTTGATATACGCCCGGGTGTATTTTCGTTCTTGGCAGTTTTTTTAAATTCAGCACGGTTACAGTAATTGAGTTTAACTGTCCCCTGACAATTGCTCCTTGCAATAAGCAGCTGAACCCATTGTTTCCCTCAAGAAGGCAATAGTAAGTAAAAAAAAAAAAAAAAAAAAAAAAATTATATATATATATATATATATATATATATATATACTTTCAACTCATAGTTCATAGCACAGGATCATTCAAAACCGCAGCAGAGCTTTTTACCGTGCCAAATGACACAGAAAACAATGAATACATTGGTGTTTGATGTGTGTGTGAAGCGCCAGCCCTCAAGCGAAACCGTTCTTTAAAATCAGTGAGATTTACACGGCTGTGTTGAAGGCTATTACACCTACCACTCTGTTTTTGTGTGTTTTTTTTAAAGACGTGCATCAAATATTGTTTTATTACTAGCCTGTCTGTAATTATTGGTGTTGTTTGACAGCATTCAGTTGGAATAAAACTTATTTCAACTGCATTAAGTTAATTGATATGACAAATAAGTCGGAATGTGGATATCTCTTATATTTGGTCACATCTCCACCGTATAGCCATAGGCTTCGTTTAAGTCATATCCATGTAGATGATCACGTGTGCTACTGCTAATACACCAGATGCAGCCTTGTTTTACGTGCAAAAGGCCATGGGAACATTGCATTACATAACCTAATTCAAATTGAGTTTTGATTGTGTATTGATGGCATGCACCTCGAAATCAATATATACTGATGCATGGAGTGGAGTCGGTGGATGTTTATGAATATCCAATGTTTGCGCTCTAGTCTCTTTCTCACTGTCAGGTTCTAGTCGAAAGCGTTCTAGCGTGTTGATGTTGTGGCGTGGAGAGAGATTTACTGAGCGACTTCTTCTCTTCTCTTTCTCTAGCCCAGACAGTCTGTTTCATTCCGAAGCAGTTGTTTTCAAATAAGGTGAATGAAGCCTAGCTGTACATGTCCTTGGCATAATTGCGATGCAGTGCTGTAGCAGGTGAAGCGAGCCATAGTCTGTCAGGGCTGTTTATGTTGGCTGCATCTCAGATTGTGTGTGGGATCCTAACCCCAGGCACAATAGCTCACTCATAAAGAGGAATACCCCGGCTGCTCCTTCCATAGAAAAAATAGTCACAAGGAAAACAATCGTATGCCTATTTATTCATTTGTATTAGGAAGCCCCTTACGTGTGTCATTAATGCTAATGTTATTTAATAAATGAAAACAGTTTTTGAGAGCGAAACGAACGCATTATAGCCTGAATGATCTATCACAATGGCAGCTATCGAAAGCATGTTTAAGCTATAGGCCTGCCTATCAAGGGATGATACATTAAATGCCATTGCCCCATTTTTGGAAAAAATTGTTAAGTAAAAAAAAATATATATATATGTATTTATTTCGTTTGTTTCCGTTGATACAAACATTCCATTTACATTTTGCCATAATTTGATCTTAAACAGGTAGAACTACTTTTATATAATTCCTTACAGCTAAAGTAATTTACAACAACGAAGAGGCATGAAAATTTTACAGCCAGTCAGCAATACCCAACTGAATATGTCTAATTCAATCCGTAACCCCTGGTTTCAGCTACATCAATTACACTTGATTCCACTATAATAATTAATACGTGTGTCTGCTGTGTACTGTTCCCGAGTTGTTATTAAATAGCCTATTCTTAAATGGTAAAATATATATACAAATATTTGATATCAGATCTTCCCATGCACCCTTGATTGCATAGGCTATACACGAATATGCAGAGATACAACGCGCGCATGTATTCCTTTTCGATTCCAGTTAATGCAAGAAATAACATAATGTATTTCATCGACCATTCAAATGTAACTGGCCCCAAATACAAATTCAAGGTTTAACAAAACGGAGCAATTATGAAATAATAGTCTAACGCAGGCCTAAAATAATGAAAATTGCATTTGAATGTAATTGCATCAGATTAACAAACGCAATGTATCAAGTGCAACTATGGCTTTGAACCAGTTTCGATGAAATTCTATACTGTTTTCCCATGTGTTGTATAGCCTTCACAAGGAACCTCGAGGGTCGTTATATTGACCTCTGAACCGACAACCTGTTGTGTCAAGCGTGCACGCAGTATAACGTTCCATATGCAACATGCAAACGATGTATATACAATATTTGGAGAGTTTACCATGTACAAATGTGTTTATTTATTTTAATTTACTATAGTTCCTGCATGGACACATCTGTTTATCAAATTGCTAATTTATTGATCTCTTGTTAACTACGAATTCCAAACTGCAGGACATTCGACAAGTAGCCTAGCCTATAGGCTAGAGAAAAATGTGGTCTATGCATATAGGGTTCACTCAAATGACAGTTGAAACCGGGACCGGTGCAATCGAATTATGTGACTCCGTGTTTGCAATGAAGCGCAAAATGGCTAATTGTCGTCAAGTCTGACATCAAACCTCATTTCGGTCTCCACCCCCCTCTCCACTGACCTCACCCCGCTGTGCAAGCCGGGCCTGAAAAGCCACGAAAGGTCATGGACTCCACAAAATCGTTCCTGATTACTTGAGACATCAGCTAATCGATTAGAAAACATTAACTGACTTTGAATAAACAAAATGACTATTGAGTAAGCGGAAAATTCGATATTTCCAACGCAATATGGGTCATTCAGAAATGTTGATAGGTGTTTAATGATTCTTGGGGTGACAGCTTTGGGACCACACACACGCACACACACACACACACACACACACACACACACACACACACACACACACACACACACACACACACACACACACACACACACACACAGATATAGGCCCAATGTTTCAAAAGTTTCATTTGACTTTAGGCCTATTGGTATGTGCACAGGCCACGCCACCGATGTATTATTTAATGTAAATAAAAAAATCTCAGCATTTACCCAGAATTAGATTTTCCAATTTATTTATGTCCACAAAAACGAATTTAACAACAAAAGACAATATTTCAACTAGATGGCTTATGAACATTGACATTGTTGTTTTCAGACCAATACTATCCTATGATATTTGATTATGTTTCGGTAAGGTTAACATAATATCATGTTTATATGGCGTCATCTTTTAGAGAGAATGGAAGCATCTGGGCATGTGTTTACTTTGGTATCGTATCTTAATGTTAGTGGTGTGATGACTTCTCATGCACGGTTGTTCGCCTATCGTTTCCTTCACCTGTCAAAAGAGGAGGTCGACTAATTTCATGGGCTTGCGTCTCCCAAATATACAAAAAGAGGGGATTCAAATTGTGTTAATGTTTCCCCTCTCGGTTAATATAGTTTATATTCTAGTTTTCAGTCTCTCTGCCTCTCTATCTCCCTGCATTCTCTGAAGGCAGCCGGGGGGACTATCGCCCCGGGACAAACATATGCTTCTTTCCATTGCACTAATCCAAATTCAGCGTGGAGGAATAATTGCTCGAGTGGCCATGGCTTCGCGGGGCTTTGTCCCTCGCTGGCTCCCGTCAACCCAGCACACGCCATTTCAATCAACCGTCTCTTTTTATCAAACCTTAGACCTTGCAAATGATGCGAACATTTAACCAAAAGGCTTCACGCTCCATAAACACCCCAAAACTACTTTATTTATTAGTTTGTTTATTAATGTATCTATCCATGTATTTATTTATTTATTGGTCTCATGCAGTCTGTTCACTTTAGTTATTGTGTCATTATGTTGGTCATTTGATCACATGACGTTCGTTACAGATTTATGGGGACCAGTAGAACTACTTGTCTGTCGCCTAGATGGTGAACTTGGAAAAGGTGGGGATGGTGTCTATTTTATTGCGCATCTAATTTATGCTTTACAAATAGAGACTTAGCCCACAATGTATATTTGGTCAAGGAAATATTTTAATCTTATCCCACTCAATGAAATTGGATAACTGTTTTACACATAAACGAAATTCTATCAATTTGCCTCATATAAAGTTATGGCTTTAGGAGCATCCTTTATTGGGTTACAACTGAATATTGACATTACATAAGAAACAGCTAAGAATGGTTTGTATTGAGAAACAGTTTTTTTTCCCAAAGGAACAGTTGCACCAAGATTTGGAGTGTGCAATCTGAAGATATAATACTTTTGTAAAGTACCAAACCCTCAAGCGATGCTGACCCCATAAAATGTTTTGGGGTTCTTGATGTCTTAAACCATGGTAACAAGTCCTAAGAACAAAGCAAGTAGAAATCTTTCGCATGCTCAAAACTGCTTGCTAAAATGATCTGATCGAAGTTGGTGTCATTAGTGTAATAATAATAGCCTACTACTACTACTACTACTACTACTACTACTACTACTACTACTACTACTACTACTACTACTACTACTACTACTACTACTAATAATAATAATAATAATAATAATAATAACAATAATATCAGGCCAAATTATCTAATAATAACATTATAATAAGATATATATTTTTTTCACACAAAAAACTTATAGGCCTATGTCTACATCAAATGAATGGCCTAAATCAAATTCAATTTCGAAACAACCTTATTTTAGACTATAATATTTACATAGACATGGTGACACTATTAACAAAGTATGTCAACGCCAAGATAACTATTAATGCTTTATAAACACTACCTCTTGTTTGTTGATCATATTGAGAATTGACAGCAGCAACCTTAGCTTACATCTATCTATCCATTGACATGAATTCACAAGAGAACTAGGTTATTCGGTAAACACTCTCTAATGTCTATCTATTGCCTATTTTTCTGGGGTGAATTTATGGCAAGTAATCGATTCCAGAAAATTCGAAAAGATAATGACAAAACGCATCAAATGTTTTGTTACAGTTTTAGTCCCGGTTTACTAGAGCAATTACTCTAGTAAAATTGACCATGTGCTAGGAAATCGTATATTTTTCACGGATAAGGAACAGAATAAGAGAGGGAAAGGGAGAGAGGGAGAGACGCTGTTGTCGGACTGAATTAATAGACAGGATAATTTGAAACCAAAGAAGAACACTATTTCATCTAAGCTGCTATCGGTTCCATCACAAAGGGTCACCGCGCAGCTGTGGCATTACCCAGCGTTATTATCAAGTTTGATGATAGGAGCCCGTTTGCTGTCCTAGCACCTTGCTCGAGGCAAGCAATAGCTCGAGGCAACGCTAGTGCCGCCCCGGTGATAAAGGACTTACTCTGCGCAAAGAAAGAGAGCAGCTTTCACTTGAGACGTAATCATCTCACAGGCATGGCCTATACTGCTTTTCGTTTTTCCCCCCTCTATCCTTTTTTTTCATAATACATCTCTAACTTTTGGCTTATTGCACATTTCATGGATATTTACTTATTTCTCCTGCTAAATACCGAGTTGGATTTGAGGGACATAGATATGCTGTTAGAAGGAATCCATGTCCACTTATTGAGGATGGATTTGCTCAACTATTCTTATTATCCACAACGATAGTTTAA